TTAGCAGCCAACCATGAACACACTATGCTCCCAGAGCTCCTGTACAGACTGGCAAGACAGGATCAACTGTTTTAACTGGATATTCTTTTGTGTCCTGCTTCCCACGTACCTGCATAAAGGTAGAAATGACTGCAAGTAAATCAGTCTCTGAAAGAGCAGAATTAGTTACGTATTTGTCATCAGCGGGTGAGGAAGACCCTCTGCGACACAACGGTTCGGACCAGGAGCTGGAGCACGGCAGGCGTCGTGAGGACGGTGCCGCAGAGAGCAAGGCTCAGGTGTGCTCACAGGCTGCTCAGAGTTGTGGTCAATGACATCACCTAACAACAGCAGCAGCAGCAAGCCAGGCATCTGAGACCCACCTGCTGTGTGGAAGACTTGAGACTCTCGCTGTCTCTGTCTGTACACCCCCCTCTCTTTGACACACACACGCACACGCACACACACGCACACATGGCCCTTTCTCTCTCTCTCATATACACCACCTCTCTCTCTTTCACACACACAGCCCCACACACTTCTCTCTCACAGACACATACACACACCTTCTCTTTCACACATACCCTACCCCTTCTCTCTCTCTCACAGACACACACACATACACCCCTTCTCTCTTTCACACACACACACACACCCTTTACACTCTCTTTCTCTCTCACACACACATCCCCCACCCCCTCCCCTCTCTCTCTCCATCCTTCCCTCTCCCTCTCTTTATATGCAAATGTATGTTATTAGGTATGTCCAACTATGACACATAGCAACCCTGTGAGTAACAGATCTGACTCAGGCCCTGTTCCTGTCATCCACTGTTTTGGTCAGTCAGTCCATCTCAGTGATGGTCTTCCTCTTTCACTGACTTTCTACCTTTCCCACAATGACACCTCGGTGTCTTTTTCCAAGGACTTGTCCCTCCTGAGAACATGTCATGTCCACACACACACACACCCACCCGCACACACACACACACACACACACACGAATTTTAAGTCTACTGTAAATTCTGCTTTTCTCTTGCCTGTATCCCAACTTCTGCCTGGAGGACGTCCCAAGAACGGTGATTGTTGCCAATCAAACAACAACCCATCAAAGTAAGCGTGGAGGCCCTAATCAGAACTCGACAACATGGCCCTGCGTTGGGATGATGGGGTCACACGAGTGGAGGGTGAGGATTTCTCATGAGAGCAGAAGAGACACACACGGGGACAGATACACGCCACATACAGTCCCTTTATGAACAAAGGGACGCCAAGGTCAGTTAGCAGTCACCAAGCCCCCCAGAACCAACTGCCATGGAGTCGGATCCAAGTCACAGCAGCCCTGAGAACAGAGGACAACTCTCCTTCGTGCTTCCAGAACTTTACGGCTGTCAAGGATCAGACACCACACCGTCTTCCTAGAGGGCTGCTGGGGAGTTCCAACCGCCAACCTCTAGGCTAGAAGCCCAGTGCTTAATCCTTATACCACCAGGACGCCTTCAATAATTCATCAGGAATTAGGGGGGGAAGGCCACAGAAGGAAACCGCATAGCCAGGCCCTGACTTAGATTTTCAAGTTCTCAAACTGTGAGAAAATAAAGTGTCTGTTCTTGAGAACCACCCCCTTGTGATACTTCTGCAGCAGCACGCGTCTCGGACAATGCCTACCTCCTCGCTCTCAGACACTGGGCAACAGGTCCAGACAATCCTGTTTCCGGAAAAGGCACTGCCTCTCGAGTAACTGCCCTCTTCCACATCCAAGTGGACACCTGGAGATCCACTGCTGGCTTTGACACCCCCCTTCCTTTTGAAGTTCGTTGCTCTGTAATGATTTATGTCCCCAAGGTTATGTATCATCAACCTGGCTAAGCCATGCTCCTCTGCCGGCCAGGAGGTCATCTGATTATGATGTCATGACGTCATCATCCTCTGTGAGGTGACCAGCCAATCAGCTCTAAGGTGACCAGGGGCTCCAACAACCGCCTTAGGTCACATCCCTGATCGCACCTATGAGAAGTTTCCCCTAGGTGTGGTCTGTATCAGTTTTATCTTCCAAGAGATAAAAGGATCAAGCAGAGAGGGGGACGTTAGTGCCACCAAGAAAGAAACGTGACAGCAGAGTCCTGGTTCCCTGAGCTGAGAATGTCGTAGGCCAGGGTCCTGGAGATGTCCACAGAACATCAGGTTCACAGACGCTGACAGGAGACAAGGACTGTCCCCAGCACCAGGGTGAGAGAGCCCTCCTGCACCTAGAACTGGTGTCCCGAAGGTCGAAGCCCTGCCTCCTGAGCTGTGGAAGGCTGCATCTCTCTATTACAGGCAGCCACTCGCTGTGCTGCTGTTACCGCAGCATGAGATGATGGGACAGGCCCCCCCGGCCCCTCGGTGACCCAGGCAGAGGAGGGCATCTGCTCACTGCCCTCTGTCCTGTTCACAAGAGGCTCCAGTTTACAACAATCCCAACTGAAATGTCCTGTCAGGACGTCTCCATCTAATGTCCACCCAGCCCCAAAGCTTTCCCTTTAGCTCAGATGGCCAGCTGACCTCCTCACTCCCCTCCAGGTGAACTGCAGGGCATAAGGCAAATCCACAGCCCAGCCCCCACGGGCAAGGCCCCACAAATGCCAGCAGTGACCTTTCCTCGGCCTGCAGACAAGGCCGCAGCCACTGGGCGGGCAAATGCAGTGAGGTTTGCCCTTAGCACCTCCTGTTTGCATCTGTCCATAAATCGCTGCAGAGCATTCCACCACAGCCCCCATTACCACCACAACCACACACACTCCTCACACTCCTGGAATCAAGACAACTGGCCCCAGCTCCCCCCTAGGCAGGTGAAACAGAAAACCCCTGAGCTCTTGAGTCAGACAGACCAGGATACAAGTCAGCTCTGGCAGCCGTAGTCCGCGGCAACTTCCTTACCCTGTGCCAATGGGCAAGTGTTCCTGTTTTCAATGGTCCAGTAATTCCTACCTCGTAAGACATCTGTAAAATGAAGACTGTATCAGCCGTTGTTGCTACTGATACTGTGGTTAGAATGGACCCACAGCTGACCTCTGGCGGGTTTTCAGAGGCAGTAAACTGCCCAGGAGACTTACCATCTTTCTTCTGCAGATCAGATTCAAACTATGTACCTTTGAGTTGGCAGTGCAATTCCTTAACCACTAAGACACCAGAGCGCCCTTAGTTGCCATCTGGAAAACGCAAATCAAAACTACACTGAGATACACTCAACCCATTGTCACCTAGTTGGAACTGACCCATAGCTGACCCTCCAGCAGATTTTCAGAAGCTGCAAGTTACACAAAAGAACACAAGTTCCCCTTCAGAGCCACTGGTGGATTTGAACCCTCAGAAAGGCACAGCCTTGGGTTAACAATGCAATTCCATATGGACTAGGCTCCCTGGAGCATTGCTGATGGACTGTAAAATGATGCACCTTTTTTGGAAAGTAATTTGATAGTTCCTAAGAAGCCCGTAACATACAGTTATTAACGTGCCTCAGCAATTCCACTCCTAGGTCTGTGTCCTAAATGTAGAAGAGAGAGATTTTAAACAGGTACTTGTGAACATAACAACAGAAGGGCAGAGGCAGCCCAAGCACCTATTAGCAGGGTGAATGGCTAAATAACGTGCTCTCATCCACACCAGAGATGCTATTCAAGCAAAGCAAAGAAGTCCTGACATACAGCTGAGGACTGATGAGCACAGGAGACACTGCTGGGTCCCGCTGCGTCAAGAGCACCCATCGCTGACCTTCCAGGGGCTTTCAGGGGCTGTAAACTGCACCAGAAAAGACTGTCCATCTTCCCCCGCGGAGCAGCTGGTGGATTCGAACCACGTACCTTCGTGCTGGCAGTACAATTCCGTACCAAGTCACCAGAGCTCCCTTCTGAAACATAATACTAACTGAAATACACCAGACACCAAAGGACAAGTACTGTCTGGTCCTACCCGTGTGAAGTATCTAGACAGCCAGAAAGGAAAATAGGGCTGGATACTAAGGGCTTGGGAGGAGGTTGGGGGAAGGGGGAAGGAGTTATTGGGGAGACAGCAGAGTTTTTGTTTAGGAAAATAGAAATTTTTGGAAACAGATACAGTAATGATTGAACAGAAATGTTAATTAAGTACCATCAATTCCAATCAACAAGTATTCTTTACAGCAATTAAAAGGCATATTTTAAGTGATCTATATATTTTTATAAAACAAAATATTCAAATTGCCTTCATGAATATGTGTCTCCTTTCTAATAAGAGCAGAAGATCTGAGTGGTGCCTGACTACCATTACCAAACATGCTCATCAAAGTTTGCACAGAGGAATTCCGATCAAAAAGGGGGGAAATGCAGAACAGAAGTTCAAAACCGCAGGCTTTCATTGTGGAATATTTCCCCATCTTTTAACCTTACAGCAAAAATGTATTCTGAAGTCATTTGGAAACTAAACAAAAGTTTAACTTAACTAGTCTGAACAGGGAGTTCTGGTGGCTTAGTAGTAAGAAACTGCACTGCAATGTCAAAGGCACACAGTTCGAATCCACCAGCTGTTCCACAAGAGAAGGACGGGCAATCTCCTCCCGTGTGATTTACAGCCTCTGAAAACCCGCTGGAGGCTCAGCTGTGGGTCGGCTCTGACTCAAAGGTAAACAGATAAGGAAAGGCTGACTGAATCTCACGTGTTTAGGATTTCTTTGGGATCAAGTTCACATCACCACAACACCAACTGGTGAGAGAAAATCATCGGGGCCGTGAGTTCACGCTCGTGGCGGAGGAACAAGTTACAAAAAGAGAGAATGACCATGCAACTCAGGCTCGAAGTCGTCCACATCACTCAACTGTCCCTGGAAAACGACTGAACTGCCATATTTACATAGTCTCAATTAATTTTTGAAAAATGAAAAATTGCCCCCACCAAGGAGAGGAAGCCAAGGCTCTCAGCACCGAAGCTGGGTTCCTACTGGTCCCCAGCCTCCCGGACCCCAACCTCCCAGCCCTCACTCCTCCGCAGGCTCCCAGCCGCTCTCACCTGAGGCCGCAGTGGTTGGGGTGCTGGCCGGCACCTGGGGCTGTGCGGAGCCACCACTCTCATTCATCAGGCAGGGATTGCTACTGCTGTTCTCTCTCTTGACCAGCAGCTCAGCCGCGCTGGGCAGGGGGATGGGGTGGCTGATGCCCAGCTCCTCCTCCTGGGCCTGCTGCCTCCTCAGTGCCACCTGCAGAACAGGGACCGGTCACCTCCAGAGTACCAGTGTGCTGCCCACCCCACCCACCCTGAGTTCCGGCCACGTTCACCCGCTCCAGACAGGAGGTGTGGGCATTTCTGTAATGACTTTAAAGGATCTGACCACGGTGATGGATAACCCAAACCAGGAGAGGATTTAAAAGACCGTGTGCGGGGGCCACAGAAAACCCACTGCCATGCTGGATTCCAACCCACAGTGACCGTGCAGGACAGCGTGGAACTGCCCACAGGTTTGCAAGCCTGTAATTCTTCACAGAAGAGAGCTGTGGGGGTGTAGTGGTAAGGACTTGTGCTGCCAACATAAAGGTACAAGGTTCAAATTCACCAGCTGCTTCAACGGGCAATGTCCTCCTTTGCAATTTACAGCTTCTGAAAATCCACCGGAAGGTCAACTATGGGCCAGTTCTGACTCAACAACACACAACAACAATTCTTTACAGAAGCAAATTGTTTCATCTTATAAAAGCAGATTGCCTCATCCTAGAGAAGCAGACTGTCTCATAGAAGCACCGGGCCTCATCTTACAGAAGACAGCCTCGTACTAAAGACGAAGACAGCCTCATCTTAAAGAAGTCTCATCTTAGAGAAGCAGACTGCCTCATAGAAGCACCGAGCCACATCTTAACAGAAGACAGCCTCATATTATAGAAGCAGACAGCCTCATCTTACAGAAGCCTCATCTTAGAAAAGCAGACTGCCTCATAGAAGCAGACTACCTCATCTTACAGAAGACAGCCTTGCGTTATAGAAGCAGACTGCCTCATCTTTGTCTTGCAGAAAGGCTAAGGGATTCCAACTACTGGCTGTTCCCTTAGCAGCACAGTAAATGCTCACTTAACACGTGTGTCCCCAATGAACCCAAAGCAGGGACTCAGATAAGCCTCCATGAACCCAGCGTGCAGTGCAGCAGTAGTCACAGGAGCCCAAACGTGGAAATCCCAAGGTGTCCATCAACCCAACACGGACAAGTCTGCCGTCCATCATATGGTCCATCCGTAGAACAGAGTGTCAGCCAGAAAGAACAAGTCAGCCCTGCTACCTGCTCCAACACCGAAAAACCTTCAAACATGCTGCTAAGTGAGTCAGTAACAAAAAGGGAATATTCTGGAAATATCCAGACCAGAATCTCAGTGGTGACAGGATGGGGTAAATGCTTGCGAGAGGCACAGCTTCTGTTAAGAAGGATGAAAAACTGAGAGTGGACAGAGGTGATGGTCAAGCAACAGTCAGTGTTACTGGACTTGGGACAGCCCATGGTGATGGCTGAAATGTGTACTTCATGTAACAACCATACATGTGAAGAATGACAGCATGATGAGGGTGTATCATACACACATTTAAAATAATAAAAATGAAAAAGTAATTAAGAAATGCACCACTGCTGTATTATTTCAGGAAATTTGTGATTTAAAGCTTTGAAACTAAAATTTTTAAAAAAAACTTAGAAAGCTAGTTAAGGTGAAGTCATTTAACAAAAATCATTTTCAACTCACAAAAGCTAATTCTAAACAAGCAATTATTTAAGTAAGGGTAAAAAACTAAACTTAAATCTTGGGCTTTCTATTATTAAATAAGGAGCTTTACTAATAGCAAAAGAAAAAAATTAAGCCTCAAAAATCCCTTAAAGTATGCTTGTATCACTTCTACCTGGATATTTATTATATATCAAAGATGCTAAGGACACCTACCAAAGTAACCTTCCCACCAGGAATTATTTTTTTTCTTTTTTAGAAGTGTTATTTAAGTTAAAGATGGGGAAAATTGACTAAAAAGGCAATACTCTGTAAACCAAACCTAAGCTGTGATGATATCCAAATTGAACCTAAGACCACTGTAGAACCACCATATATTGTTTTGACCTAGTTTATAAGCTCCATCTCCTATTGTAAACACCTTCAGATGTTGAAAATATTTATATTTCACCTTAACATAAGCTCATAGCTCTCTTGCTTTTTAATACAGGAAAACAGCTCTGCTCAAAATCAGTACTATTCCTCCGACAAATTCTTTATTTCATTGAATTTTGAGGGACTTTCCACCCGTATGCATAGTCTCCAAGTTTCTAGATCAACAATCACACTCCAGAGTTTTTCTAGATGGAGAGGTACCTGGCCCCCTGATCTTTCTCAGCTAAAGCCATGAGCATGTATTTCAGGGAAAGCCCAGGTGTCCTCTCCCTACAACTGAGCTAAACACATCCACAGAGACACAACTTTCATTTCAGGGCAGCACTTAAATGTGCCCTAAAAGTTCATTTTCCAGCCTGTGTTGGGTAGGTGATGTCCGGCCGGCTGGAAGCCTGCGTTTCTGCTCTTATCTCTGATTCTATGGATGCAGAGATGGGCACCTTCCCAATCAAAAGTCGCCCCAGCCTCAGGGGACAAGTCCTGGGCACCCATTCATCCTACAGACCCTGTTTTTGGGAGGGGAAGCAGCTTTTCGCTGGGGAGATGCGTTTTTTCCGAGGGCGGTGGCCCGGGACCGAGTGTCCCTGCTGGACGTGCGGCATGGGGCGACCTCGGCCACGTGCCCCTAAACCCGGTGCCTGTGTCTCCGGCGCATGGTTGTCCAGCTCTATGCACAGGCTCGGAAAAGCCGAGAAAATGTCCAGCTCAAGATGGCTGGGGCCGGAGCGGGGCCGGGGCGGAGCCGAGTGGACATGCGCTCGCTCTGCGCGCCACACGGGCTTTTCCCGGGAGCGGCCCTGACCCCAACCCCGACCCCGACCCGGCTGGACTCGGGAGAAGCTTCGGACCCCGAGGGGATGGAGCCCTGGCAGGAGCGAACCCCGCAGACCTGGGAGGTCGGGGGCCGGAGACGCCAAGGGAGGGGGGACCCCAGGGGGGCAAAGACCCCCTCCCCGCCGTACTGCGCAGACGGGATCGGGAACCCTGGGTAGGAGCGGAACCCCAAAAATACTAACTCCAAGGGAAGCAAAAACATGAAAAAGGGGGCCCAGACCTCCAGAAAAAGTGGTTGGACATCCTAGGGACCCCTGGGAGGAGAGCACCCCAAAGCTGGGGGAGAGGAAGGATTCAAAACCAGAGTCCTCTTCCCAAGGAGAGCATTTCGACTCTACTCACCTGACCCAAGCCGAGATCTTGGGGAACCCCCAGGTAGAGCACTAATTCTCGGTAAGGGGCAGCGCCTGAGACCCCAGGACACCTAAGCCCTGGTGACCCCTCCACGCTCTGCTGGGAGATAGGATACGTTCCCCGACCCTAAACTCTCCACCCCGTGGGTAAGGACACAGTTCTACTGGAGGTTGGGTCGGGGCGCTGGAGTCCCCAAAGAGGGCCACCCTGCAGCTCTCACCTCGAAGGTCAGAGACGCCAAAGGGGGAGAGGGCAGGGAGGTGCCCTGTTTACGCGGCTGAGACCTGTGGAAGGATCTTGTTCAGCGTCCAGGCTTCTCCGTGGCCAGGGATCTATCTCCAAGGACCTCACCAAGTAGACGTGAACAGGAGACCGCCCTGAAAGCCCATGGCTGTACTACTCAGTCCTAAACACCTGCGGGGGTCTTCGACCTCCCCCAGCGTCCAACCATCGAGGCCCGCGGGGGTCCCTGGGCAGCGCGCAGGGATCCCTGGCCAGCCCGCGGGCGTACCGGGGCAGCACGTGGTGTCCCCTGGCCAGCACTCGGGGGTCCCTGGGCAGCTCGCGGGGGTCCCTGGCCAGCTCATGGGGGTCCCTGGCCAGCCCACGGGGGTCCCTGGGCCGCGTGCGGGGCTGCCCACTCACCTGCGCGGCCATGACGCGCTGCCGCTCCGCTATCAGGTTGCACTTCTTGCACTGGCAGTCCCGCCACATGCAGAATCGCTTGTGGCCCTTGAGCGGCGACGCGTAGCCGTGGTTCCGGCAGCGCGCGCACTTGGGCAGCCGCGGGGACTTCTTGCCCGCCGAGCCCGCCGCCCCCAGCAGCGGCCCAGCCGCCTTGCCGAAGCCCCCCGCTTTGCTCGGCGGCGCAGGCCCGGGGCCGTGCGGGCTCTCGCCGGGGGCCGACGGCTTGCCGAAGGAGTCGTCGTTGGGCATGGCGGCCCGAGGGCAAAGCGCAGGCACCTGGGGCTCCTGGAGACGGCGAGGGCGGCACCGGGCGGGGTGAGGAGCGAGGAGGCAGCGCCGGAGGCGTGTGCGGCGTGGCCAGAGGCGCAGCCCGAGTGGCGAGGTCGGACACGCAACGCCCAGAGGAGGGGGGGCTTTTTTTTTTTTCCTCGCTGGCGCGCGCACGCTCCACAACAGAACTTTTGGATACTTTTCCGAACGTCCCCGGGACCGCTAGCGCAGGAAAGGGCGCGAGGAGCGCCGCCCCCCAACTGCAGCCGCAGCGCCCCGCAGTGAGTGTGCATGCACCGCTGCAGCCCTGCCCGCGACTGCACAGTGGCTCTTTGAGCCTGAGCTCGTGTGCTGAAAGCCCGGCCTCCAAGGCAGCTCGGAGGCGCACACGGGGTCCTTGACTCCCTGCCCCCAGTGAGTGTTCTCTGTATCCCTCTGGGCGTTCCCCAGAGAGAGCTGGGAAGCGAGTAGGCGCAGTACAACCAGCCTCGCAAAAATACCCAGGTGGGCCTTTCTCATTTCCATGGACCCCCCTCCCGCCTAGAGGTCATTTGTTTGCAGATTTTCCCCTCCTGCCTGCCTCCTGTCCACAAGGCTTTTCGGGTAGACCAGCAATTAAAAATCTGAGCTGGGGGTGGGGATGGAGGCGGAAGCATAGAGGAAGCACTAATATGAGATATTTACCCAAACCCATTTTACACTTAAGATGTGCGTGTTCTGTACGCAGTCACACCTCCAAACACACCAGCAAACCCTCAGCGATCTTCCAGTCTTGATCAAGGCTTCTCATCCAGAACGCCCCTCGCCCCCATGTCTGCTGCCCAGCACCAGCAAGTCCACACAAATCCACTCCGGGACTTCCTATGCTCCCACGTGACGCCACCCCTACCTCTCAGCCCCTCTCAGGCTGTCTGCAGAGGCTTCCACGAGGCCTGTTTTCCTTCTAGTACATTCCATGCGCATGTCAACTTGACAGTCCTTGCAATGGCTTGCTACTGCTTCCCATATATAAAAGGTAAGATCTGAATTAGGTCTTCAAGCACTTGGAAGATGTCCTTCTGCATTTGCAGACCTCAAGTGGCTGCCCACCAGCCCCATGACTCTTTGTCTCTGTATCTCTCTCTTCAGTGTCACCCCTTCACCTTGCAGTGCCCATTGGGGGGCCAGCCCCCAGCCCCTAACCCCTGACCTCACCTCTCTCTGCTTTATGCCAGTGTTAGTGTTCAGGCTCCAAATTCTGGGCCTCACCTCTGGGGTCTGGGCTCCAGAAAAGGCCAGCTGTCCTCTGACCTTCTCTAGTGAGTGTTCTGTTGAAGTCTTTCTGGGGAAGTTAAAAAAACCCTCCCGATAAGAAGCTTCTTCTGCCTCTCTCTACAGCTCTGTCACTCAATTGGATTTTTCTCCACATGTTTCTGCCTGAAAACTGATTTCTTAAACTGTCCAGGAATCCTCTCTGTACAAGTGATTAAAGCCCTTGATTAGAACCTCAAGTCAGAATCAACTCCACATCATTGGGCTTGGGTATTGCTTCATGTGTGTCTGTGCACGCACACTGCAGAAGGCACGTAATCTGTAGAGCAAGCAATTTTACAAAATCAGAGGGGCAGCGTTTGCCCGAGGCTACAGTCCCAAAGTCAGGAATGGCTAGGAAAGTAAGTGAAGAGGGAATTCAGAAGAGCACCATTATGCTATGGGGACTGTAATTAATATTAAAGAACATACTTTGAACAAATTGCTGAATGGAAAACTAATTTTCTTTGTAAAGTTTCACCAACTCACAATATTAAAGTGAAAAAACAAAAAGCAACAAAGCAAATCATGCGAAGTGAAAGGGGTCTGATTCAAAACACCTACATGGTCTCAAAGGCCACCAGGTGGGAACCAAGTCAGTATTGATCCTCCGTCCAGTGTTTAGAGTCTGTGAATCATGTGGGGGGGACTCCCCTCTGTCATCAGTAGATTCTAACCACCCAGCTTTTAGTTCTCAGCCCAACTCCTTACCAGTGAGGCCACCATGGCAATTTCATGGCTGGCCCAAGGGAAATTAAAATCTATAGTAACTGCAGCCTTCAGTATGGACTGAGGCTCAATGTCAAGAAGACAAAGATTCTCACCACTGGACCAATTGGTAGCATCAGGATGGATGGTGGAGAGATTGAGATTGTTCACAGCTTCAGTTTGCTCGGCTCCACAGTCAACACTCTTGGCACCAGCAGTCAGGAAATAAAAAAGCGTATCGCGATGGTAAAGACTGCTGTTAGGGACCTCTCTAAAGTACTCAGGAGCAACGGTGTCTCTCTGGAGACTAAGGTGCACCTGATACAGGCCATAATATTTGCAATCGCTTGTTATGCATCAGAGAGTTGGACAATGACTAGGGAGGACAGAAGGAGAGTGAATGCTTTTGAGCTGTGGTGCTGGAGAAGAGTACTGAATGTACCATGGACTGCCAGGAAAACAAACAGATTCGTCTTGGAGAGGATTAAACCAAGCTACTCCTTGGAGGCAAGGATTCTGGGGCTTCATCTGACATACTTTGGACATGTTGCCAGGAGGGACAGGTCCTTGGAGAGGGACATCATGCTTGGGAGGGTGGAGGGACAGCACAGGAGGGGAAGACCCTCTATGAGACGGATTGATTCAGTGACTGGGGTAATCGGGATGGGTGTGTCAGAGGCAGTGCGGTTGGCGCAGGATAGAGCAGGGTTTAGGGCTGTTGTGCATAGGGTCGCTATGAGTCGCAAACAACTCGACGGCACATAACAACAACAGTAAAAGAGTACTGAAAACTCCACAGACTGCCCAAAGAACAAACGTGTTAGAGAAGGTGCAAGCGGCATGCTTCTTACAGGCCAGGTTGGCGAAGCTTCGTCTCACATACTGTAGGTGTGCTGCTGTCAGGTGCTGTCGAGCGGAGTACCACTCACAGCGACCGTAGGGAAAACAAATCTGAACCCTGTCCTATCCTGTGCCATCCTCACCATCTCTGACTCATTTGAGCCCAAGGCCGCAGTCACCCTGCCTATCAGTCTGCTTGAGGGTCTTCCTCTCTTTCGCTGACCCTCCACCTTTCCAAGCATGATGTCCCTCTCTGAAGAATAGCTTCCTTGCAGCATGCCCAGGGATTGTGAGATGAAGCTGTGTCATCCTTGCCTCCCAGGGACATTCTGGCTGCAGTTTCTCCCAGACATAAATGTTTGTTCTTGGGGCAGTTGTAAGTACAACAGTGTGTGACAGAAGCCCTGCGCTGTGGCATGGTGGTTAAGAGCTCAGCTGTTTGGCTCAACCAAAGGATTGATGATTGGAAGCCTCCTGCAGCTCCGTGGATAAGTGGCCTGGAGGTCTCCTCCCATAAAGAGGACATTGTAGGACACCCCCTGGGGCAGCTCCCCTCTGTCCCCTGGTGCAGCTCTGAGTGGGGCTGGACTCCACAACAAGGACAACCGGACTAAGTCCAGGCTGATGGAAGAGCGAGAGGCACAAAGACAAACACAGGCATGCGGGATCGTGGGAACCTCGGTGTCCGGCGGGGTGCTGGGAGGGAGCCCGGGCTGGAGGCAGGGCTGGCTGGTCTGGGACAGAGGATTCAGCCTGCAGGAGATAAGGTTGGGGAGATAGCCAGCACCTCGCCTGCCAGCAAGGGAGTTGGCTTCTCTCCTGTAAGCTGATGGTGAAGGGTGGCGGCTCTGTCCTTGGGGTGTGTGAGGAGCAGACATGACCCTCCACCTTTCCAAGCATGATATCCCTCTCTGAGGAATAGCTTCCTTGCAACATGCCCAAGGTACGTGAGATGAAGCTGTGTCATCTTTGCCTCCCAGGGACATTCTGGCTGCAGTTTCTCCCAGACATGTCTGTTTGGTTCAAACGGAGCAAGGATTGTAAGGGACCACCAGACCAGGTGTTCTGTCCTGGCCGCAGGTGGGCAGCTGACACTTGTCCTGGAGCACACTGTCCTGAGTGTCTGGAGGCCATCTGCCACATGAGAAACAGCCCTGTGACAGAAAGGAATGGAGCTGGGGGCACGGGACGGCGGGAAACTCAGGTCAGTGCGCTCCAGGTGGGGTCCTGGGGTCCACAAGCCATCAGCATCTCTGCTTGAAGTTGTTGTTGTTGTTACTGTTAGGTACCCCTGAGCCTGTTCTGACCCCGTTCAACAGAACACAGCCTGGCCTGGCCTGCCTGTTCCCACAATCACCCCTGGGCAGCCTGGCGTGGCCTGCCTGGCCCCATGATCACCCCTGAGCTTCAGCTCATTGTTGTCAGTCCATCTTGTCCAAGGGCTTCCACTTTCCCACCGACCTATGTTACCATGCAGGACACCCCCCTCCAGGGACTGGTCCCTCCTGAAAATAAGCCCAAAAGACAACAAAACAAACCTCAAACTCAATGCTGTGGAGCCAACTCTGATTCAAAGCCACCCCTGGGACGGAAGAGGGCTGCTCGAAGTGTCGCCACGGCCGTAACCTTGACAGAAGCTGGTCTCACTGACCATCTTTCCGTTAGCGGTGCAGCACTTCACCGCTGCGCCACCAGAGCGCCCACAGACTCCACCAGGACTGCTCTTCCCTGTGAGTTACCAGCAAAGATCAAAGCACTTTCCATAACTGGTTTTAAAGAGCACACACATTTTAGGACTTTTCCTAGTCAAGATGGTTAAAGTGCAAACACTTGGGTGATTTTACGCAACAGCACTCTGAATCCTATTCATTAACGGAACTCACTTATCATCCTAAATTTTTATTTCCATAGATTGTATTGCTAAAGCTGACCTTTAACAATATTAAGAAAGAAGGGAGGTCTGCCGCCTCGTGACAGGAGCCACACGGCCACCTCAGAGGCTCACGTTCACACCCACCACCTGCTTCACAAAAGCAAGTGGACACACGCCTCCCGTTCAGTTTACAGTCTCTGAAAACCGGCTGGAGGGTCAGCTGTGAGTCAGTCTGACCCAGTGGGACACAACAACAACAGCTGAGACC